AGAGAAAAAAAAGCAGATTTTTTTTTAAAAAAAACAGAAACAGAAAATTAAAAAAAAAAGAAAGTAAAAAAACTAAAAAAAAAGAATCAGAAAAAAACGTAAAAATATTTTTTTTTAAAAAAGTTAAAATCACAAAAAGAACAAAAAGTAAAAAAAAAAAAAAGATAAAAAAAGGATGTAGCACAAAATTATTTTTTTAGTAAGGAACGTAAAAAAAATTAGTTATATCAAAAAAAGAAAAAAATAACAAACGTAAACAAAAAGAATTGATCTAAAAATAATAATTAATTTTTTTTAAAAAAGAGACAGAATGTTAAATTGTTACATGCATTAAAAAAAAAATAATTTTAACCTTTCTTAAAAAATAAATATAGTCCTAATCTATTCAGAATTTTTGTGATTTTAAAACTAATTCAAATCTCATAAAATTTCATCTTTCTATTTTTAAATTAAAAATAAATAAATTAACGTGAACTTTAAAAAAAAAAATCTAACTATAAAATACCTATATAAATTCATTCCCATAATAACTAAATATGAGTGTTTCAAATTTTGAATTAATGGATGCACACTAAAAATATAAAATAATTTTCAATAGATTTAAAATAAATAAAATGATTTTAAAATGTTTAAAATAAATGAGAGAATAAAGTAAAAAAAACATTTTTATTATTAAGTTAAATAATATAATATTCAAAATTAAGTCTAGTCATGAAGCGACCGTGCTAGAATCACGGGACTCGAAGGATGACTTGAAACACCAAAACTCAATTTCAAGTGGCGATTCTGTATAATAATTATCCCTTTTCAAAATATCACTTTAATTGAAAAAACTCTTTTTTCTTTCGAAACAAATAAAATTCAAAACATTGAAAGAGAAAAAAAGGGGCGTGACACTGGTAAACATAGACATTTTGCCCCCTAGGTCCACATAGAATTAAACTCTTTATCATTTAAAATATCTCATTACTTGAATTTGGGCCCAAAATTTTTTTTTGAATTAACGTATCATAATCATGACTAATCAAATCCAATTTTTAGATTTGTTAACCTAATGAGTAATGAAAATTTCAATTTGTTCTGTAGAAAGATATGTAAATTGGTCTTAACATAAATTATTTTATATCTCTCAACTATCTTTTACTTCCTTTCATTTAGAAATAAAAAATTTCTTTTACCTTAATAAAATAATTTATTGTAGAACTTAGCTGAGACAGTAATAGTCAATCTAATAGACCAAATTTGCAAAGCATGTTACTGAAGAAAATTATGAGCAAAATACATAAGTTTTCCAATTATAAACTTTTATCGAAACAATGTGTAGTAATTACATATTATTGGTTCATATTTCGAAAGTTGAATACCAAAAAATATATAGATGTAGTGAACTTAAATGGTGAACCAATTTTGGCATCTTAGACAAGTTAAACCTTTTAACTTAGTCGTTTGGTATTAGTAAAAATAATATATACATTGGTTCTATGTATTTGTAATTCCTTGTTTGGTATACTTTTTTATATTATGTATAACTAAACACTATATTTTATACTGAGAAGTGTACTAATAATGCCGTACTTTCTAGCAGAGTTAAAGATCCAATTACCTTTTAAAAGCACTGTTACATTTTTTTTCCATCATAGTTCTAGATGATATATTCGTAAATAACTATTTTTATATTATGTATATTATTTTTAATACTTTAAACCAAATTATGCATAGAATAATTTATGCATGATTAATATAAATACTATTAATATACTATATTATGCATTATATTTATACACTCCACAATACTATCTACAAGTTAATGAATAAAGTCCCTTTGAAATTCGATCCAAGTTTGGCAACGTACATTTGGGTAATCTATACGTTTATTAATTTTTCTCTCTATTTACTCTATTTGTTCCTTAAAT